AAATAATAGTAACAGTGGCAATGCTAATTTATATGGATAAAAAAAGATAAAAAAAAAAATAAAAAAACCACCTGAACGGGCTCCTTAACCGCCGGCCGTTCCCACCAAGGGACCGCCTCCCCCTGAAACAGAAGATTTTTTTTTTTTCCAGGGAATGTAGGAAGGGAAAAAAACAATTGCGCGGCCTAAAATGCCATTCAAAATAGGCCTATGCGTGTGGATGAATATTTTCTATATATAAAAAAAAAGTCAAGTAAGTCAAAATTTAAGGTTTATTTGAGTCTCCGAAGTCTATGTCTGTCTGTAATTTGTTTTACATTTTATTTGGGACGTAGCTGGTAGAAATTTGCTATCTAAACTGTAATTAATGTCATAATCAAAATTGAATACTATTCAATTTATCTAAATAACCAAAATGTTAACTGAAAAACTAAACAAAATGAATAAATAAATAAAAAAAATGACGATCTCACTAACACAGTATGGATATCCTTAAGAAAAAAAAAGAGGAAAAAATCGTAAAAAGTCTTCTCTATATATTTATTACTTAATTACTTGAACAAAATTGAACAAAAAGCACCTGTTCTGTATCGTCCTCATTTTGCTGCTGTTCCCACCACACTGAACCCGAATCCTGGAACACATGAAGGGGTAATATGTATAAAAAAAAAAAAAAAAAAAAAAAAAAAAAAAAAAAAAAAAAAAAAAAAAAAAAAGGCACTGAGGACTTTGTTGTTTGTTTGTTTGTTTTGTTTACGTCGCTGCTGTTTCTTTGCTGCTGATGAAGTTGATGGGATTTCTATTGTAGTTTGTGATCAGCTGTTGCTTATTTGTTTCCGTGCTATAAGTTTGTTGTTGTTGTTGTTGTTGTTGTTGTTGTTGTTGTTGTTGTTGTTGTTTTCGTGAATGTTGTTGCTGCGATTTTTTGTTGATTAATGAATAATTTGTGTTGTATTTATATAGATATAAGCTAAGCCAGGCAATGACTAAACTACAGCTGCAGGTAAAATATATTAAACAAATAAACTAAAATGTTTAAGGGGAATTTAGAAAAAAAAACTAACAAAAAACTGTAATTTGGCGGACTAAAAAGAAATCAAAGTAAAGAAATAAAGAGATAAGAAACAATCAATTAAAACATAAAAAGATTTTCATTATATTGACAGAACTAGACTTAATTAATTACTTAAGGGCTCTTTGAAGGAAAAACAAGATTCTTTTTATATACTTCAAGAAAACCTGAATAACAGAAATAGTCACCTTTATCATAAGTTCTTTATCATTATGATAATCGGTTTGTCATTATTCTGCTTATCGTTATTATAAAATATTATTTTTATCAAGTATAACAAAAACATTATCATTGTTGCGTTTCACTTCATTATCATTATCGTTATCCACTTAGAATTATTATCGTTATCATTACATTTTTTTTCAATTATTTAAAATAAATACCAATTATATGAACTTGTTTTACATCTTTTAACCTATTTCTAAATCATTTTTAATGTTTCGTTTTTAATCTTTTAACCTATTTCTACATCATTTTTAATATTTCGTTTTTAATCTTGTCCATTGCTTCACTATCACACAATATTTATCCGTTTTTTAAAAGACTTTTAAGGACATTTCGAGCACCTGATTCGTATCCTCCTCTTCTGCATGTTCCCACCATGGCAGTTCTGGTTCCTGTAATATTTCGGATTTTTATCTTTAAAACCATATCTCTTTTACTCTTATACTCTTGATTTTTTTTTCATAGGATATGAATATTTGGAGGATTCGTTATATAAAGGAATAGATAACGTGGATAAGATATGAATATGGTAATTTAGATAATCAAATAAACTCGACAAAGAGCCTAGGAAATATACAACTAAGATCAAATAAAATGTAAACCTCTAAACTAATCATAAAAATATAATAAAGTAAAAAACTAACCCAAAAAAAAACTAAAAACAACAACCCAACTAAACTAAAAACAAAAATACGTTTAAAAAAAAACAATCTAAAATAAAAGAGAAACCTTAAACTTATCATTTCTCATAAAAAGAAAAGAAAAGAAAAGAGAGAAAAAATCAAAGCCAAGGGAAAGCGGGCACCTTCTCATCGGCGGCGGAGGAAGAAGCGATGGTGTTAGTGTTGTCTTCATTTTCCCGCCACATGTCATTCTGGAAACACAGGGACCGCGGGTTTATTTTCAATCATTGGAAATCAATTAATAAGAGCCAAATAAAAAATGAAAATCGTAAAACTGAAAAGATAATAAGCGTAAATAAAATTATATAAAGTAAAATAGATGTAAATAGAGGAGTTATTCTGGGTATATTCCAAGAATAAGGGGAAAACATAATAGCGTATAAAATATGATTTGATAAACAATAACTGAAAAGAAAATGAAAAGGACGGAGGGAAAGTATTAAAAAAAACTGAACTCATTTTGGAAATTTAAAGACCGCAGGCTTGGTTTATTTAAATATAATAACAGTAGAAAAATAATCACAATAAATGAAAGAACATAAAGTCCAATACACGAAAAAATCAATAAATTAGATCAAGACAAATAAACACTCTTTTCAACTCTTTTCTTGGATGGGACACAGCAAAAAAAGAAAAGAAAAGAAAAGAAAAACGAAGCTGGTAAGAATAAGGTTGTAATTATGGAACATTCTCGAAGCACATGACCGTTAACGAACCGCTGGTAGAATAGGGAGCATAACGGTTATAAGACTTGAAATGTTTTAAATCCATGCTGTTGTTTGTTGCTTTGTCTTGTCTGTAGTTTAGGAGTTTCCATGCTTTGTATGTAACTGAAAATGGTGGATGATATGAATGAATCGTTGAATGTGCTGGAATGAAAGATGAGGTAGATATGGCAGCAACAACGGTTTGGATTTCGGGTTTTCAGTCGTATGATCCAGTCTGTGGCATCGTTTGGGATTTCTTCACGATCAGGGGGGGGGGGAGACAGAGACAGAGACAGAGACAGAGACAGACAGACAGAGAGAGAGACAGACAGAGAGAGAGAGACAGAGAGAGAGACAGACAGAGAGAGAAAGAGACAGACAGACAGAGAGAGAGACAGACAGACAGAGAGAGAGACAGACAGACAGAGAGAGAGACAGACAGACACAGAGAGAGAGAGAGAGAGAGAGAGAGAGAGAGAGAGAGAGAGAGAGAGAGAGAGAGAGAGAGAGAGAGAGAGAGAGAGAGAGAGAGAGAGAGAAGAGAAGAGAGAAGAAAGAGAGAAAGAAAGAGAAAGAAAGAGAGAGAAGAGAGAGAGAAAAAGAGAGAAAAAAGAGAAAGAGAGAGAACAGAAACAGAAACAGAGAGGGAGAGAGGGGAAAAGGAAACACAGAGAACCAAAGCTGAATATAGCCTGTATACACCGTGCGTTTCAGAAACAAATTCCTCATGCCGCCCCAAAGAAAGACAGGCCTTACACACGGACGCATGTAAGAAAAAGGAAAATACCGGCAGTGGGGTAATTATGTCATCCTTCTCGTTTTCCTCAATGTTTTCCATCTCGTTTTCCTCAATCTTTTCTTTCTCGCTTTCCTCAATCTTTTCCTTCTCGTTTTCTGCCTTCATTTCCCCTTTCTCGCCTTCTTCTCCTTGTCCCTCTCCTTCTTCGTTCAATTTGCTATCAGTCCCGTCCATCTGAAAGCACGGGAGTTGAAGGCGGGGCAAGCAACTCACCTTCTCCCGCTCGCAACCAGCGCAGGCCAGAACCTTTCTTTATTTTCCGTTTACTAAAATAACAGCATATGATCTAAGCACCCAGAGATAAGCTAGGAAATTGATTAGGCACAGGCATAACAAAAGCTAGAATTCTTTGCATTAAGTGGAGAATATTCTTAAAACACAATTTCTAAAACTTTAATTAAAAAAAAAAACATCATAAAACATCTATCAGAAGCCTTATATCGAGGGGGTTGTAATATAGAGCAAAAATCGACAAGCAGGTCGAAGGTCGGAGACACATGCAAACTTCTTCCGACGAGGGGCTAACCTTCGCCCCGTGGGAGAGGGTGGCGGGAAATGGGTGCTCTAGGACCTGTGTCTACGTAAATCGACTGCGGAAATGGTTGGAACGAGAAAATAGGGGAATGTCTTTAGGCTCTACAAAATGGTCAGGTTTTCATCAGCGCAACAACACGTGGTGAAGCTCAAGCAGAGACATCCGGGTGAGGGGACGAAAATCAGGTTCCTGAGGAAGATGCGGCGAGGGAGCGAAAGGGGCCGAGGGCATCTAAGGCCTTACCGCGGGCTGTTTGTCCTCCTTCTCCTCTTTCAAGTTCGACTCGAAGCTCGGGTAGTCGATGGTTTTCGTCAAGAGGGCATCGGGTTCGCGGTTCAGGACCTCCTGCTTCCGAACTTGCTGAGGCTCCGGCTCGATGTCGATCTGAAGCGTGGTGATCATGCCGGCGCTCGTGTCCTTCGGGCCTCCGTCCTCGACTTTGGCTTCCTCCACGTTGTTCTGGACGCCGCCCTCCTCCTCCTCCTTCGTGTCCCCGAAGCCGGCCTTGTAGAGCTCTTGGACGAAGCGGGATCTCCGAGGAGGGGGCGAGATGGTCCTCTCTTCCTCTGCAGGAACTTCCTTCTCCTCATCCTTCTTCTCTTCCGCCGTGGCTCGGGATCTAACACGTACTTCAGGCGCGTCTCGAGATCTAACACGCTCTTCAGCCGTGTCCCGGGATCTAACACGCTTTGTCTCGGGATCTAACACGGCCGTGTCTCGGATCTAACACGCTCTTCAGCCGTGTCTCCGGGATCTAACACGCTCTTCAGAATCTACACATCTAACACGCTCTTCAGCCGTGTCTCGGGATCTAACACGCTCTTCCGCCGTGTCTCGGGATCTAACACGCTCTTCAGGAGTGTCTCGGGATCTAACACGCTCTTCAGGCGGGAGAGCTCTTCCGCCGGCGCAGGGGCTTCTCTCGGCTCCCTCGGTTCCTGCGGTTTTTCCTCTGGCTTAAAATCCGAACCCAGGGCGTCCTGTAATTTGGACTCCGGAGGCGAGGCTGTGGCGGCCTGAGGAGTCGGCTGCTCTGGCTGCTTCGATGAGCCAGGCTGCAAGAAAGCGCCTCGGTTATGCGGGGGAGGGAGAGGGAGGGGAACAGGGGGTGAGGAAGGGCGGCGAGCTCTGGGGAACTCCGTGGAACACTTTCTTCTTCTGCTCCTTCTGCAGGAGTCGCGTCGATGTGTGTTTGCTATTGATCTTGGATGAAAAAAGGCTTTTGGATCCCCTGACCCACGCCCATTTAGAAGTAGAGAAAACGATGAATGAAAAAGGAAAATGAGGATAATGGCTCATGAAAGAAATAATACTAAATGATGCGGACGGAGCCGAGAAAAGAAAAAATAAAATGCGACCCATGGTGGATAAACCTCATGAAAAAACTAAAAGAAATCACTGAAGAATGAGGGAGAGGTAATGAATCGAATAAAGAAGAGAGGAGGAAAAGAAAGCGATAAATTTAGCTACCTTCCAAAGCCTGTGATGAAACAAGTGGAGATATTACTCTCAGCAAAATGAATATCGATTAAGATTTTCAATAAATTAACAGCCTAACTCAAAGAAAATAAATATTCAAAGAAGCTACCTTGAAGATGTTATGCTGTCATTAGAAAATAAACATATTTAAGAATAATGTAACTTTGCAAGATAATTTGCTTGCTTTCAACCCACCTGTGCATTTGCCTGGCGTGTTCTGGGCGCTGCCTGTTCTGCAACCTGAAAAAAGTATAAATGTCAGATATTTTCTTATTTTAACCTCAATGGCTTCGTACGGTATATAGATCCACAGACAGACAGATAGACGAGTAGACAGATATATAAATATATATTTTTTTTTAATATAACCCACTAAATCGAGGTTACAAAACGTGACCCAGTAACAATACACAACATTAACAGTGTTGTAAGTTAATGAAAGATACATACATGTTCAACTCTCAAAATAAAGATTACATCAAAACATCATTACAAGAATAAATTATAAATCGCCCTTTGAACAATAATAATAAACATGAAAACCGACCGTAAACAGATCGACTTGATATCAAAACAGAATTTTAAAAAATGACTACGATTTTTTTTCCTCACCTCCATTTCGGTTTTCGTCTCACATACATCTTCAAGAGGAGGTTGGGGCATCTGCAGGTGTGAGTGAAATGGTTAACAGAAAAAAAAAGGAAAAAAAAGAAGCACCACATTAATGAATAAACCAAATGGGAATAAAAGACGAAAAGAAAAAAAAAGAGAAAGTTATTGAAATCATTATTTGTTAAATGTAGGCCTATATTTGGTTGAAAAAGAGAGTTATTGAAATCATTATTGGTAAATGTAGGCCTATATTTGGTTGTTTTGGTATAGATATGTGTTTTGATTTAGAAGTTTCCATGTGTGTTTCACAGTGGAAATAGTAATGTGTAAATTAATATGAGTCAATATATAAATAGAAAATAATTTTATACTGGCAAAAATATGATTACAAACCAAAGGAGACTAAACGTTAACTAATTATAGTGCAATCTAGGTCATCGTTAACGTGCTAAACGAATTAATATTAGAAAACGGAACGAGGTTACGTACTCATTGAAAATAAATTCGAAATAATAATGAATCGGAAATTAAAGAAATAATGAAGAGAATAACCGTTTCTCGCGACGGTAATAAAGATGTTTGTTACTAAATTGCAGTAGGTGGCGCGAGGTAAGATATATATATATATATATATATATATATATATATATATATATATATATATATATATATATATATCACATTTCATTTAGTATTAATCGAGGCATTTGCTGGCGAGGAAGAAAAAATTTGAGCGAGAGTCAGATGATGCAGATCGGAAGAGCAAAATTATAGAAGAAAAAGGCTACGAGGCAACTACGAGATATACTTTCGTCTTTTCTTCGATAATTTTTTACTTCACTTACGGTTTCTTCTTCCTCGGATTCCTCTTCTTCCTCTTCCTCTTCCTCTTCCTCATCTTCATCTTCATCTTCATCATCTTCCTCTTCGCTCTCTTCGTCTTCTTCTTCTTCCTCTTCTGCCCTTCCATTGACCTTCCCCGACGACATCTAGTGGAAGGTTTTGTAAACTTTACTCTTTTGAAAATGGCGCGCTTTGTAACGGAAGAGAAATTGGAGAAGCGCAATTTTTAAAATGAGATCAATGCATACGACGTATAAATATAACCTCTGGAAATGAAAATCATGAACGAAAGACATTAAAACAAGCATATTCCGGTTCGATATGCAACAACGAGAGAAAAAGAATAAAGATGAAGAAAAAAAAATCTTGATACTATTGCAGTTCTCGGCCAACAACGATGTAAAATGTCCTTCTATGAAATAGAATTATCAACATATGATCAATTATTTTGTTTGGAACCGTAGAACGGATTTTTCTTTCCTATCAAACATTCTATCTTTGCTAAAATTCTTAATTTTCTCTCGTGTTTCCTAATACTTGAAGACGAAGAAAAGGACATACCCTCTTCCTTACTTTCTCTCCTTACTTTATTCACCAAAATGCCTTAATGAAAAAAGTCAGACAAATAATTCAACGTACTGCTCTGAAACGGTGCAATTTATTTTCGCAAAATTGTGTTCTGAAAGACGTTATAACAGATACTTGGTCCGCGATCCGATGAATTAATTTATGTTTTTATGTGCCCGTATATTTGTCTGCATCTAGTTCATATATCTGGTATGAGATATGTTTCCATATATATCTATACATACATATACATATATGCATATGTATATATACATATACATATACATATACATATATAATATATATATATATGTATATAATATATATATATATGTATGCATGTATTTATGTATGCATACATATATATATATATATATACATATCATATATACATATACATATATATATATATATATATATATATATATATATATATATATATATATATATATTATATATATGATCTATATATACATATATGATCTATAATATATATATATATATAATATATATATATTATATATATATATATATATATATACATATATATTATAATATACATATTCATAAACATATATATATACATACCTACATATGTTTACATATTATAATGCATTGAAATATATAAATTGACAAGAAATATTTTAGAATGGATTCCCTACCGTATCTGGCGGCACTTACAATGCACATTTACTTAACACACACCCCCAAAAAAGGCTAAAAAAACCCCGTTTTTCCATACAAACGCAGGGACACTTTCCATCCTTGGATACACCCGGATGGAAAGTGGGGGTGGGGTCTATTGCGTCTTAAGTGCCGTCAAATACGGTTTAATTTACTTGCCATGATTATAGATTTAAAATTTATAACGTTTGATTATCGTTATCGTGTCTATCAATATAGGGACACACTCAAATTCTGAAATTCACAAGACAAATCGTAAAAGGGGGTAAAAATAAGTAGGAAAACACACACACACACACACACACACACACACACACACACACAACACACACACACACACACACACGCACAATCTTTCATTCAAACACACGCACACACACACACACATATGCACACATATATACATATATATATATATATATATATATATATATATATGCGCATGTGTATGCGTGTGTATGTACAATCGTTCATAAATGATAGGATTTTGAAAGGGACCCAAACATAAGGTTCAAATTTATCAAAACTTTTCATGCCACATCAGACAACTCAAACAAATGGTGTTCGCATGCGTGAGCTAGAATTACGGTAGCATTCCTCTTGAACTTTTTGAAGACTATTTGAAAATGCAAAAATGACAGAATTTGGGCGGGGAAAGGACAGAGAAAGAAGACGGTTGGGCGACGAAGCAGGGAAGGGAGGGAGGAGGAAGGACAGCGGGTAAACAAAATCTACCAAACTTTTCACGATTAAATGACGTTTGCGTTCAGGGAATCGAACACGACCATCCCAGGGGAAGGGGAGGGGAGGAGGTAGGGGGAGGGGGTGATATATGGGTAACGTGACTTACCCATGATTCTTGGGGGGTTCCCCATTGCTCTTCTACCATGGGGGAAGATGACTAACCCAAAAGAAAACAAAAATTAAAAAAATGAATTAAAGAGAAAACGAAGATGGAAAAAATTCAAAATAAGTCCGGTACGAAAAGATAACGGTCATAGACATACAACTTTCCTCTTAAAATGTTTCTTGCTTTGGTTTAGTGTTACGTAGAACTGTTTTAAAAAATAACTTTTTTTCTATATTATTATGAAATAAATAGTACAAATCTGCACATGCAATACGTTCGTAAATAAAAAGTATATTGATAAGAAAAGCAAGATAATGTAAAATTAAATAAATGAAAATATTAAAACAAATAAGGAAGAGAGAAAGAGAAAGACAACATACAATAAACGGAAGAAAATGTGAAAACAGATAAAAACACATCACGATTTGAAGCAAATGGGATAGAAAACAAGACACGGAAAGAACCGCTAAGTGTGAAACAATAGGAGACAGACAGAAGAAGACAAACAAAAGACGCGCGAATTAAATATATAAAAAAAAACAAGACGGAAAAAGAAAATAACAGACAAAAATACAAGAGTTAGAGAAAATGGGACAGAAAATGAAGAACGGAAAACGACGCGCAAAATGTGAAAGAAAACGGGACAGACAAAGCACAAGAAACAAATGACGCGCGCACGTAACATACACGATAGAAAATGAGAAATAATACAAATAACTTACGAATATAACAGATATTCTTGACTGTAACAAAAATTTAAATATCTATCCTACTCACCCTTGATTTGTTGTCATCTCTGACTCTGGGAATGGCTAGGTTCTCAGATGCGTTCTGTAAGGGAAAAGAAAGGTTAGAGTGAATGTTTCTCTTTCTCTTTCTCTCTCTCTCTCTCTCTCTCTCTCTCTCTCTCTCTCTCTCTCTCTCTCCTCTCTCTCTCTCTCTCTCTCTCTCTCTCTCTCTCTCTCTCTCTCTCTCTCTCTCTCTCTTCTCTCTTTCTCTCCTCTCTCTCTCTCTCTCTCCTATTCCGGAAAATTATTTTTTTTTCGTAAAGAACATGGTTTTTCAGGGTATATTTTCATTGTTTTTTTCTGATTACTCCCTCTTCTCTTTACCCCTCTCTATCATTCGCCATCATTATTTATTTATTTATTTCTCTCTCTCTCTCTCTCTCTCTCTCAAAACAAGAAATAGAAGCAAACTAACCTTTTCTTTGTCGGAAGTGGCCTGTTTGTTGGAGAACTTCCGGGGAAAACATGAAAAAAGAAACATTCTGTTAGACAAACAAAATATATACCGATTTCTATTTCTTTCAATTTTCTAATCCACCTAATTTTATCTGAATAATACCAGATCATCTAAACTACTGTACTGTATTTTTTTTTTTTTTTTTTTTTTTTTTGTCCACAAGCCAATTGCATGAGCTGATCAGAAAGTTTTTTTTTTCTTTCTTTCTTTCGTTCTTTTTCTGATCGGTAACATATGCAACTGTAAAAGTTCAGAGTCCGGTATCTTATTCATTTGATTCGGCTTTTGTTAAAAGGCACTTTTGTCTTATTTCTTTCACTGCTATTATTATTCATTTTATCATCGTTATTTTTTCATCTAATACTTAGTGTCAGCTGCAAGCAGTTTCTAAGAATTAGCTGATTTATTTCTTACAAAAGGTACTTGTATTAGCTAAATATTTACTACGTGTTGTTTGAGAATATCTGTTCTTTTGTTCTCCATAACAGTTATTGTGTGAGGAGGTATCGAGGGAGAAAGAAGAACAGGAAATAATAATTAAACAATACAGAACTGAAAGAGAACACTACAGTCGTTACCACAATAGTAGAAAACAATAACATTGTTTTCGAAAAAAATAAATAAATAAAAGCCATAGTATGAATCATAACAATAATCCTACAAACCATTAATCAACTGAAATGGAAATACAATAATAATGAAACAGCGTGGCGTTAGTTTTGTTTGCACTTACTACACACAAAAGAAAAGAAAAATCAGTAGTAGCCTGGCGTGTCCACGAGCACAGTATAAAAGAGCCTTTGGACTAAGAAAAAAAAAAAACGTTTTTTGGCCAAAACGTTTTTTTTTTTGTTTGGGGGAAGCAAGGTCAGCATCACTGCTCGCGAGGTCAGAATAAATACATACACGGGCGTCTGACTGTTGCTTGTTCTGGGCTTGGTCACTCTGCTTTCTTTCGAGCTCCTTGAGCTTTCTCTCTATTTCATCGAGGCTGTACCTGTCTCCTGCGGGCTCTTCTCTTTTCGGCGGCTCCTCCTTCCTTACCTCTCTCAGATGCACGTTCTCCAAGAAGTTCTCTTCCTTCTTGGCGGGTTTCTCTTCCTTCTTTACCTCCCTCAGCTGCACCTGGTCCAGGATGCTGACCTCCTTCTTGGGCTGGATCGGCTCCTCCTTCTTCTTGACCTTCCTCAGCTGCACCTCGTCCAGGAAGCTGCTCCTCCTCCTCTCTTGCTTCTCCTCCCCGTCCTTCTGCCTCTCTTGCTTCTCCTCGCTCTCTCGTCTGGCCTTGAGCGCCTCTCTCTCCCGCTTCTCTTTCTCTTGCTGTTCTCGCTCTTTGTTCAGCCTCTCTCTTTCCCTGTTTTGCTTCTCTTTCTCCATTTCGCGTTTCTCTCGCTCTTGCCTCTCCCTCTCTTTCTGCTGCTTTTCTCTCTCCTTTCGCTGCCTCTCTCTCTCATTTTCTTGCCTTTCGCGCTCTCTCTCCTGCCTTGCTTTCTCTCGTTGTTTTTCTTTCTCTTTCTCTTGCCTCTCCCTTTCTCTTTCTTGCCTTTCTCTCTCTTGCTGCCTCTCTTTCTCCTTCTGCTGCCTCTCTCTCTCCAGCTGATTCTTCCTCTCCTGTTCCTGCTTCTCCCTCTCCTTCTGCTGCTTCTCCCTCTCCGCCTCCTGCCTTTCCTTCTCCTCTTTCTCGTTCCTCTCCTTCTCCAGCTTGCCCTGCTGCTTGAGGATGAGGCTCCTCCTCCTCTGCTTCTGCTCGTTCTCGTCCTGGATCTTCGACTCCCACTTGTTCCTCAAGGAGCTGATGCTGAGCTTCTCCGGCGGCTTGTTCTCGTCCTCCTCCGCCTCGTCGTCCCTCTCGCGCCTCCCCCGCAGGAAAGGGGAGGAGGGGGTGGTCATGCCCCTGCCGTCGCTGCTACGGTCGTTCGAGGCGTCTCCGGCGGGAGGGATGTGCAGCTTCACATTCCTCTCTCTCTTGGCCTTGTTCGGGGGGCCTTTCTCGCCCTGCTGTTCCTCGAGGTACACGGCGTCCCGCTTCCGCTTGTCGTCCATCGCGGGGGCCCTCTGGCGTTGTTGCTGTTGCTGTTGCTGCTGTTGTTGGTAAGATTGTGGGCCCGGAGGGTTGTTGGGGCTTGGCTGGTGGGGGGAGGGAGGGAGGTAAGGGTGAACAATGCATGTAAAGAGGACCCATTATCGCCAGAAAGAAGTGTGTGGCTCGGGTAGAGTCGACCGGGGGAAGGGGCGGAGGAGGGGGGGGGGGGGGCTAAGAGAACTTGAATCATGCACAGATGATTCATGCAATGTGGGACTAAGCTAATCTGTCTATCCCATGCACTTGGCTTTGAAAAAAAGGCTGTTGGGGTGGGTAATTCTCACTGGCAATCAAAGGGCTAGGCTACCGGGAAACAAACTAATAATAACGTGCATGAACTGTGACATAGAGAAAGACAGAGTTATAAGAATGAACCACAAAATGGTGACGATTTTTTCAATACACTCCACGTGGTCAGGTTCACCATCAGTTGGAAAAGTGCACCAATCATTCCTTTTGATGGTGTGGCAATAACTAACCAGGATTACATATATGGCTAAAGAAAACGACAGAAAATGACTAGGGAGATATGGTGCCACAGTAGGAATGAATATGGCACACGGCACAAGACCTTCATAAACACACCAAATACAGAAATAGAAGTATACCCACACATCCTAGACATACACACACATAACATACAGATACCCACACACAAAACGCACAGAATCATACACAGACATACACACCCTCAAACACATCATCCTAAGAGAGTGTCTATATAAAGCTTTCTTGTTAGACTTCAGAGCTGCTACGGAGATGGAGGAAAGAGAAAAAAAAGGAATAAATATAAAGAAAAACAAATAAACAAGCAAAAGAACTCCTAAATAACAACTCTGAACTACAACGAACCAACTACCAGCTGTATATGTCTAAACCGGTACTAAGTGTCTAACAAGTCCTTTGGGTAGTTTCGAAGGATAGAAGGACAAGGAAGGGGGAGGAGAGGAAATGAAGAGAGAAGAGGAGAAAAGGGAGAGGAAAGAGACAGGGTGAAAAGAGGAGGAAGAGGAGAGAGGGGGGAGGGAATGTGGAAGAAGGATAACAAGAGGAGAAGAAGCAAGAGCCGAGAGGTTTCCTTAGGAGTGAGAAGGAAAAACAGGAATGGGAAGAGTACTAAACAGAGAGGAATGGAAGAATGGGAAAGCTAAGAAAGGGGAGGAGGAGGAACGGGGTGAACAGACGAAGAGGGGGAGAAGAACGAGAGGAAGAGGGGAAAAAAAGGAAACGGAAGAATAAGGTGGAATAGGAGAATGAAAAAAACGATGCGAAGAAACGAAAGAAGAAAAAAGGCGAAGAAACGAGAATAAACGAATAAAAGACGGAACGTAGAAGAGAGAGAACAAGAGAAGTGAAGAGAGGATTGCGGGCGCTTACCTGCTGTGGGAACTGCTGCTGCTGCCTCTGCTCAGGTGGCAAGGGGGGGGCGGGGGTCCAGGTCTGTCGACACAGATAAGTGTGCTACTTACAAGGGTGTGGCATCTAGTGTGGCGTGTCCCTGCCAAGTGCTAATTATAAGTGCAAAGTGGTGTGGTGTCTTTTTTTTTCTTGGTTCGGATAAAGCACGGTGCATTCGGTGTTGTATGTGTGTGGGTGTTTCGAGAAATGGGTTGTGTTTGTGCTTGTGCGTGTGTTTGAGTGTTTGTATATTTGTTTGTTTGTTTTTGTGTTTGTTTGTTTGAGCGTGTATGTGTGTTTGATTGTATGTTTGTGTGTGATTCTTTGTATGCGTTTGTTTGTGTGTGTTGTTTTGTTTATTTGAGTGTTTGTATGTTTGCGTGTGTTTGTTTGTGTGCGTGTCTGATAAAGCTATGCGACACTCATCTCGTAAGGGGTAAAACAAAAATAAAACAAAACAATATTGATATCCAAAATTCGCTTTACCAGTACATATTCCATACACACGCGTACACAAAGAAGCCTTTATGTAGGCATCCAACTGGGAATGCACTTAACGTGATGTCTATATCATATATATACATACATACATATATTTATACATACATGCATACATACATACATACGTACACACAGACGCAGCTGTGTGTGTGTGTGTGTTGTGTGTGTGTGTGTGTGTGTGTGTGTGTGTGTGTGTGTGTGTGTGTGTGTGTGTGAAATATGTATGTCTATATCTACATATATATATATATATATATATATATATATATATATATATATATATATATATATATATATATATATATATATATATACATATATATATTATATACAGGGAGACATTCACACACATTATACATCTTCATATTCGTACAGACACATCCCTTATGTAAAAACACTAAACAGATGCACAAAACGTTTAGCGAATAAGCATTCTAAGCGATCAAGCACAAACAGTTAAAAGCAAAATCCTTCAAATAAAAGCAGGCATTACTATAAAAGCAACAACAACAAAAGATAAGGAGGTACAATCTCCATTCATAAAAAAAAACACACACCGAAGTCAGAAAACTCGATTCGAAAAAAGGTTTTTACCTCTGATATCTCTTCTGTTGCCTCCCAGCCCTCCTTCTCTGGGGTCTGTGAGACGGCAACAAAGAGGGTTAAGGTTAGTCCATGGCGTCTGCCTTGTTTTATTCTCACATCCTGCGCTCCTAC